GTACATATATGTAAATTTAAAAATATGCGCAGTATACTGTGTATATGTATTTACATGCAATATATTGTATATGTGCAGCCAAATTGTAACAATTCTACCTAATAAAACTGAAAAATGAGAAAGAAAATGGGCTTCTTCGCTGGTAGGAGAGACGTTTACAGAAGACTGCTGGAATTTATTAATCAACAGATCAGCTATTTGATGGAATTCTAATTAATTGTGCCATTTGAAAACTTTGACATATGTAAAAAAAAATCCTGGTAGTGAGAATTGTTGATGGTGAGAATTGGGAGTGTGTTACACCGACCAAAGACATGTAATCTCCTAACATCTTTAAAAATAGAATCGAGTCTCCTATGTCTGGGATAATTTAAACGTGGGGAGTTGAACTGGGTCTCGATTCTACAATTATGCGTCAGTCAGTCAATGATGGCAAGCTTTAAGGACTGTCCTTAAGGAACAGGAGGTAAAGTGGCAGAGAACTACTCACACACAGCCCAAGTGACTACTGGGAGAAAGTACTCAGAGGGGAACCCTGTAACAGCCCCACGGTGTAGACCATTAGGGGGAAATGGCTGATGGGAAAAGTAGGTGTGTGACCATAAGATTTCGTTTTCTTTCTTTCCTGTTCATTCTGTCAGGCATACCTGGCAACAGCCAAGTATAGTCTGAACATTCTGCAGAAAGTTTCCTTTTGATTCACTCAAGTTTCAAGTAATTTATCTGAACAAAGACTGGCCGCTGAGAGTACACAAATGAAATGGGCACGTGTGTAAGGACATACATAGTCATACTGAGGCCTGATGATGAGACTTAGCTCAGGAGAAATGAATGTGAATAAATCCATAGTTACTCACATTTTTTTTTAATCCAGGCAAACTGGATTTTTAAAATATTTCTTCATTGTAAAATCCAGATATTCATTCCCCCCTCCCCACCGGTATTATTTCCAGTTATTTGGGGTGAAGGAAATTAATATTATACAGGTGTATACATAAAAGTGATTACCTTAACTGGATGTTTAGTAGTTATCACACTTTACATGTTACTTTTATTTGCAATGGCATGTCCATCATTACTGATGCATTCCTTCAACAGTGCATTCAACTAGCCTGCTTTGTGAACAACATGAATTTTATCTGTCTCTTCTGAGCCATCCTAAGTGACAAACAGTGCAGTCAAACAGGATTTTAATATTTTTCCTCTTTTTGCTTTGCTCCCTCTTCAGTGTCGGTGCAGTCAGTCACACTGCAGCCTCCTCTCAAAACATACAGTTGTGTTTGATCTCTGTCCCTCCTGGAGACACGGCCCTGCACTGGAGTCCCTGGAGCCCGGGCCCGCTGTACCCCCGCCCTCTACTGCATGGTGCTCAGCCACTCATGCTCTTCTTTCCAGCTGTGAGATTCCCAAACTGCATCTTCAGGGGCCCTTCTTCCCTCCCTCTGCCACCCAAACAAAATAAAACCAGCAACACAAACAACAAACAAAAATTCATTACTCCTCTCATCCAGGAAACAAGAGCCTAAGCAGTCCTGGTGCGTTAGTGTGGTAGCCCAGGTCACATGGTCAGTAAATGGAAGAACCAGAACCTGCAGACCTGGAACACTGATCTTGAGTCTTCACAAGTATTGAGTATTCCTTCCACAAGCACAGGCCTGTCCCAGACTGTGGGTCCGTAGTGCCAAGTATGCACCTAAGAATTGCCTGTAGACTAAATAGATATTATGTCTCCTATAAATGTACTGTATTCTAGTTTTCAAATGTCAGTGTTTTGTTGCTGAAGTTAAAACTTCTTGTCTTTGTGTTATTTTCTCTGGACACAGACAATTATGAGGTAGAGAGCTATGAAATATTTATGTTAATAAAAGATCTTATGTTCAACAGTGCCAGGAACTTTATGCTATCAATAAATTTACTTTATGAGTGACTCCTGCAGAGGTCAAGATATTTCAGTCTTTTCTTTCCCCCCAAACTTGCTACCTGTTTTCCAAACCCTTCCTTCCAGTGGGATAAAGCTGTTTGTCACTACTTTAGGAGACAGATGTCTGATTGACCTAACACTTTAACAAATGAACTCACACTGAAGTATAGATAGTTAACCAATCAGCAAAAATACAAATACAGTTTTTTTATGTGTATTTCAGTATATTTGCTACTTCTCACTTTTGATAAGGAGGAGAGAGTTGGAAAGAAAATGAGACCCAAGGGAAGATTAAGTTTTCTTCAGCTTGCTTTTCTGAGAGGACTGGTCTGGGCTGGCTCCGTTTATCTTAGTGCACTTTGAGATATTCTTGTCCTGTGTGACCAGCTCCCCATGTGACTGGTGAGCTTGCCCAGAAGTGGTAGGTAGTGATATGCTGCTTTCCTAGTCTTCTCTCTACTCGGAAGGAAAGGGAGAGGCAAATGAGGTGGTGACGTCTATTCACCTGAGCACTTGCGGTCCCTGCCTTTTTGGAGCAAAAAGAAATACAGGTATCCCCTACTTTTTGAAAGTTCACCTTACAACACTTCACTTTTATGAAAGACCTACACGAGTACCTGTTTGGGCTAACCAAAAGAAATCCGAAGAGGATTTTCGCTTTTATGAAAACAGGTGAAAATTTAAAATAGCGTTCAGTGTTTGTTTTGCAGAGTGATTACAGAGGCAGCGGGAAACCCTGGCGGCGAAAATAGCGCCGCCAAGCTGCTTCCCTGGGAACTATACTCAGCATCTCGGCATCAAGCTACCATTGCTTTGAAGTGTCTGTGAGCATCTATGCTTTATCTCTATTTATTTTCCACATTCTTAGCAAGATGTGATCTAAGGTACTTGCTTCTTTACTTTAAGCCGGTTCGACTTAGGAAAGGTTTCACAGGAACAGCTCTGTTTCAGATGGGTGCGGGAGGAGGGGACCTGTATGTACTTCAAAAGCACAGTAGGGGGGAAAAAACCTTCCCAAAGGGATAGTCCAGTTATTACTTTTCAGAATTATATATTTTCCCAAATGATTCTCTCTCAAAGGTTTTGCCTTCAAGTTTCTCACTGAAGGCCTGAAGACCAAGAGGCAGGAGGGCTACGTGCATTTTTAAAGGATTGCCTTCCATATGAAACATCCCCAAGTCTACGCTGATACACCTTCAGGACTTTCCCAGCCATCTCTGCTGCATTCAACAGCAGGTGAGTGACACCTAGAGCCCCAGCCTCGGGTGTGTATGCCAAATGTGAAAACCAACCAAGTGACTCACCTTACAAATTGAGCTGGCTGAGGCCATTAGCCGTTTCATATGACATGGTGGCTTTTAACCTCGTCTAAGAGGGCTTAATGAGCAATAGTCTGTCGAATTTCAGGACTTCAAACCACTGCTCTCATTTCTAAGGAGGACACACACTGTGTGCAATTAGAGAAAACCAGGCTGTGCTTTCGTCACCAGAAATGTAATGCCTTGAAGCCAAATGATGCATTATTTTTAGTTTTAATTACTAGCTTGTTCTCCACTCCACCCCCTGCCCAACGACCTCCCTTGCCTTCTACCCAGAATCCTAATTCAGCCTCTTCCCCGCAGAAATCCAATTGACTACATAGATCTTCATTGCTCCCCAAAGCTCTCACTCTTCAGTAAAATAAAGGGAGGGGGGAAAAATCAAAACCATTGAACCTATTTTACTTATCGTCTGCTCCAGGGAAAAGATCTTAGCAATTTTCTAAGGGCTGGAGAGAGGTAGGAGGTGTAAAAAACACCCGACCTCCCCCAAAGAGGCAGTTTTCTACTTCAAAAAACAGCTGTGGTAAAAATATCTCCCAAGAGCAGCCAGCTGTTTATTTATAAATCTGTGCGTAAGGAAGCTTTATTTCTTCTTCGTGTTTTCAAGAACACAAACCGTGTTTGGCTGAGATGGGCCCAGGATGCTGCGGCGAACCAAAGCCTGTAGTCTCCTTAGCGAAAGGGTTGCAAAAGGCTGCCAGCGGCGATGAGACTGAGGTGATGGGACTTTGCGGAGAACTGGCTGGAGGATGCCCAGGGCTTCAGCCTTTTTTCAGGTGTTTTCGTCGGAGAACAAGGAGCAGCTGCTGTTCTCCCTCTGCCCCAGCAGATGGTGGTGTCAGCCCGGTCCTCGCTGCCAGCCCGCCCGCTCCGCCCGCGCGGTGTGTCCCCCCACCCCCAGCTTGCAGATGGCTTAATCATGACTCGCCTTCCTCCCCCTCCCGTCCCCCCGCCCTGCGCGTCTGGGCTAACGCTGCGAGCGTGGAGCCAGGCAGTCAAGTGTTACTGCGTACAGCAGGTAGCCTGGCAACTGAGAGCATAATACCGAGCAGATGGTGTTCGCACGGCGTGATGGACATCACACACGACAGCCTGAGACAATCCAGGAATTCCCTGGTGACTCGAGGCCCTCTTTACACAAAATGAGTTCTCTCTCCATTGCCGTGTA